ATATATTTCTACAATTATATGTTATCTATAACACTATCATATTCAAATTTCTCTACATGCTGCACAGTACCAGTCACAGTAAAAAAAACATTACATCAGCTTATATACTGTATATTAATTTTCTTAAAGTGATATCAAAGTAAAAATGTTTTAAGCTACTTTAAAGGAGAACTATGGGGTCAGGGCTTTTCCCCATAGTTCTCCTTAGGGTAACGGGAGGACACAAACTATCGTCCTCCCGTTACCCTAAGCTCAGTATACCGCGAGCTACAGCTCGCGGTATACTGAGACGCCGGAGCAGATCCCGACATCGATGTCGAGATCCGCCAAGCTGCGTGAGTGACAGCTGGCTCTGCCTATCTAGAGGCAGAGCCAGCTGTACCTGCCCCCTCCCCCGTCCCATCCGCCAGTCAGCGCTGGCTGATCGGAGCTGGGAGAGGGGGATCCAGCCCCTCCCCTGTCACGGCAGAGAGCTGTGACAGGATCGAGAGGTCGGTATGTGTTCGCTCACCTCCCGATCTACTGAGCCGACCTGTGACAGTCTCATTTAAATGCTAGGTAAATCACTTGCAATGGATGCTTCTCCTTGATGTTTAAAAGTTTCAATTTCCTGCAGAATCAGCTGGTCTCCTGAGCACTGGACCTGATATGTTTTAGGGTGGCTCCTTTCCCTAACAGGGTCCTATGGAACCACCCCTGTGTGTGCTAGTAAGTTGTGTGCGACTCCGCAAACACACAGACACAGCAAGGCAAGACACTTCCCTGCTCCATGCCCCCGTTCCTCCCTCCTCCCTTCTCTAAGGTAGTAAATAGATGGTTGTTGGGGACTACTGAGTCCCTTGTGATCTTGTACTGGACAGGACGTTCTGGAAAGCCGAGCTGAGTTGGAGCTGTTTGGACACATGATGACTGTAAGTGTTTGGGAAAAATGTAAAGAAATACTTTGCTGGGCAATGTATATAGTTTGATCTGAAGCCATTATTTAAAAAAAGTTTGAGAGTTTAATACTACTTTAAATTCACCAGAGACAGACTCGCTGCAATTTCAGTCAGTACACACTACAATAGGCTAACCTGCATAACAAAAACTGTATCTCTCGATAGGAAACAAAGTACACCGCTGTCCTCCTAAATATATATACAACTTATTGATTAAAAAAAAAGTTTATTTATTTTAAATTACAAAATAAGTCTGACAAAAAAACTTATTTGAACACAATAGTGCTAAATTCTATTGGGGAGATTTCACTTCCTGTCCAATAGCCACAAGAGGAAATCCTGCCTGCCGCCTCGCCACGTGACTCAAGAGATGCCACCTGAGGCAACAATCTCAGGCTGCCTCATTATAGGGATTGTCTGTCTGGTGGCAACCCAAAATTTGGGATTTTATTTCACTTTCATTGATAACGGTCACCAGGAAAAATGGGGAGATCTAATTCCTCTCCACTCTATCCAAAACTTTTTTAAAAAGTTGATTCATTCTTCTTTAAAGTGGAACTGTGAAAATTAACCCTTGCCCTGGAGCTACCCCCCACAAACTGCATGGGTTAACCACTTGTTTTTGTCTAGGGGCCTGTCTGTGACCCTCTTGGAGATTTTTCTTCCACTTTTTCTTCCTGTCTGATAAAATCTTTGTCACGGGGACAGTAAGTGAAGGGAAATCTCTCCAACAGACACCAGGAGGTCTAACACTTCCCCGGTTTTGGCCGGACTCACTTTAATGGCGGCCCTCCACATATAGGAAATGTCAAATGTTGTGCAATGAAAGGGCCTTTAATGGAAAGCTCGGTCTGTACCAATCATTAGTGTTTGTTTAGTTGACGAGCTGATATTCTTGTCTTCCGTTCACAATATTTCTGAGCTGAAATTCGCTCTGGGCTGACGTAAAGGCAGCACGGTTGTCAGGGAAACTATAATTATCCGGAGTTCTATTGTACGATATTCCATGCTCTTTGCTGTGTGATGCGTTTGAGCACCGATCACATTACTGGGAGTACTGAGCCATCTGTTGATTGGAAGTGTCCTCGTCTTCCCAGTATAGTACATTTACCTACATCTGCATTGGTTTTATGAGGGGCTTTCCCCAAACTGCGTTCATCGCACTCCAACACAATTTTATAGTCATTATTTTTATGGGGCCCATTCACACTCTTGCATTGCGGGAACGTGTGTAACTGCATCTTAAAGCAATGCAAGCTACAAGTGTTTGTGCAATGCGGTGCCTTTCATTCTAAATGGCACTCAAATGCACCTTGCCTACAGACTTGTGCTGCCATATGGCAGGGGAGGGCAAACTCTGGCCCTCCAGCTGTTGTGGAACTACAAATCCCATGATGCATCTGTCTCTGGGAGTCGTCTGTGGCTGTGGGAATTTTGCAATGCC